GAAAGAAAAGAAAAGAAAAGAAAAGAAAAGAAAAGAAAAGAAAAGAAAAGAAAGAAAGAAAGAAAGAAAGAAAGAAAGAAAGAAAGAAAGAAAAGAAAAAGAGAAAAACAGTCTAGGTGCACCAGTTCACATTAGAGAGCCAGGTTCTGTCAGCTGGTTGTCGCTAGTTCTGTCACCAGTAAGTACAAATTTTCCACTGCATCTGCTGACAAGGGGTTTTGCATGGTTGCATTTTTACTAGTTTTATTAGTTGGGGAAGAGGGACACAGAGTGCTGCAATTTTGCCTACTCCAGTGGAATTTAGGGTATTCCATGGGCTACTTCCAAGTATTGCTGGCTGGGGCCAGTTGCCTCCAGCATTGTCTTTCCCTTGCAGAGATATATGGATGTGGGGATTGAAACTGGTAAGAGTTTTGACTGTTTCCTGTTTTAACCTGTGTGACTCGGGTTATTTCTGGATACAGGTCTTGCACTCTTTTAGAACAGTGCTATATCTGTGTCCAAAAATAGCCCAGCTAACAGGTAAAGGGAGTGGGGGAAGAAAATGGGGGTGAATTGCAAGGGACCCCTCTGATTCACCTTATGCCCCACCAACATGAAGACCAGCCTATTTTGGACAGGATATGCATTAATAAGTAACAATAAATATGATGAAGAAAACAATAAAGATAAAACTCAAAAATAGTATATTTAAAAACTGTTCCCATGCCTCACTTTTAATCTCCAAATACCATCTTAATGAGCCAGCTTTTATTTGCTCTTGGTGGAGCTTTTGTGCCTTATGAATTTGGGGGGCAGCATATTCCATAGGGAGGGGGCAGCTGTAGAAAAGACCTTGGTCTCCATCCCCCCTTTATCTGCCAAGAAGGGGAAGCTTAGAGCGCCTTTTCACAGGATGATTGAATGAAGCAGGTAGAGTCTTTCTGGAATTGGCAGTTCCCTCCTTAGAACTAAGGATCTAAGCCATGTAAAGCTCAATAGATAATAACCAGCACCTTGAATTTTACTTGAAAACAAACTGATAGCCCACACAGTACCTGCAGTATTATTGTAACACTGATAAAATGACTCTCACCTGCAAACATATGAGCCACTACATTTTATACCATCTGAACTTCCTGAATAGTCTTCAAGAACAGCTCCAAATACAGTGCATTGAATAGTTCAGTTCTGAAGTAACAAGGACGTGTGTGACTGTTGCTAAGGCCACCCACCTCTGCAATTGGTGCACTAACTAAAGGCTGGACAAAGGCTGACTGGCCATGGGCTCCACCTGCTTCCTAGCAGAAGTCAGGAGTCCAAGAGGAATCCTGAGTCATGGGCTTGCTTCATATGCGGGAGTACAATCCCATCCAGAGATAGAGTAGAAGCCACCAGAGAGCCCATAGGCACCTGGACAAACAGCCAGTCTTGCTGGAATTCAATTTCAACCTCAGAGTTTCCACAGCAACTCCTGCTTGAGTCGGGGTGATGTAGAGCTTGGTATCATCCACATTTGATGATGCCTCACCCCAAACCAAAAGATGACAGTGTTTTCCTATAGATG